AAAAAAAATATTAACCATCAGAATAGAGAAAATTATTGATTTTGGAAAACGAAATATATAATGATATTTATAAATAATAGTAATAATTTTTTAGAAAATTATAGTGAAATTTTATGAGTAATTAAGAATTTAGATCAATTTTTAAGTATATATTTATTCTTCAATATTTGAAAATTATTTTTATTTTCATTGCTACTTAGAAATTAAATTTGTTATGATTAGTTTTTGAATTGAGTTTAATAGAAATAAGATAATTGAAGTTTGAGAGTGAATTAAATATATATTAGATATAAAATATTAAAAAAATGATTTAGTAAATGAATTTAAAGATAAAATGTTAACAAGATGACCATTAGGATGAGATAGACACGGTTTGTTATAACCAGTTTTGTACAGAATTTAGATTGAATTGTTTTAAATGTATGAAGAAGGCAAGAATCCATCATGATCATTTTGATGATGTTGAAAAACTCAATAGTTTGATTGAATTCATTGAAAGTAAAAATAAAGAATGTGATCATTTGATTAATGATCTCAATACATATCTAGACAGTCTGAATCAATCATTTACATTATTAAAAAGGGGAATCAGATAAAAATATTCATTAATAAAAGAAAGATCTCTATTATTGAACTCTTAGTAACTAAATGATTATTTGAATTCAACCGTCAAATTAATTGAATACAAATAATCTATTACAACAATCATTTCAGATTAAACTAAGAAATTAACTCATACATTTAATAACTTATATCAATAATTAAATTTATCATCATTTAATTATTATTATATTGAGGATAATTCTATAAAATTATCTAAAGAGTTATATGATAAAGGTAATCATATTATTACAATCCTTAGGTTATGATTTATATTGGAAAGATAAATATACTGAGGCAATAGACATATTTGATATTTCAATACAATAAAATCCAGATAACCATTTATCTTTATGGTGCAAAGGTAAAATTAGGAGAAGATTAATAGGCGCATGTTTAAGAAACTTAAATAAAAATGAGGATGCAATCACTTGGGTGGACAAAGCATTAGCTATTGATCCTAAGCATGTGAATTCCTTATTTGAGAAAGGTAGATTGAATCATTATTGTATTAATAGGTTAGTGTTTAAGAAACTTAAATAAATATGAGGATGCAATCACTTGGGTGGACAAAGCATTAGCTATTGATCCTAAGGATGTGGATTCCTTAAATGAGAAAGGTAGATTGAATCATTATTGTATTAATAGGTTAGTGTTTAAGAAACTTAAATAAATATGAGGATGCAATCACTTGGGTGGACAAAGCATTAGCTATTGATCCTAAGGATGTGGATTCCTTAAATGAGAAAGGTAGATTGAATCATTATTGTATTAATAGGTTAGTGTTTAAGAAACTTAAATAAATATGAGGATGCAATCACTTGGGTGGACAAAGCATTAGCTATTGATCCTAAGGATGTGGATTCCTTAAATGAGAAAGGTAGATTGAATCATTATTGTATTAATAGGTTAGTGTTTAAGAAACTTAAATAAATATGAGGATGCAATCACTTGGGTGGACAAAGCATTAGCTATTGATCCTAAGGATGTGGATTCCTTAAATGAGAAAGGTAGATTGAATCATTATTGTATTAATAGGTTAGTGTTTAAGAAACTTAAATAAATATGAGGATGCAATCACTTGGGTGGACAAAGCATTAGCTATTGATCCTAAGCATGTGGGTTCCTTATTTGTAAAAGGTAGATTGAATCATTATTGTATTAATAGGTTAGTGTTTAAGAAACTTAAATAAATATGAGGATGCAATCACTTGGGTGGACAAAGCATTAGCTATTGATCCTAAGGATGTGGATTCCTTAAATGAGAAAGGTAGATTGAATCATTATTGTATTAATAGGTTAGTGTTTAAGATTATTAAAAAAATATAATGAATCTTTTTAAATACTAGATTAAGCACTCTCCATCAATCCGCAAAATACATTTTCTCTCAACCGTAAAGGTATTTTTCAACTTTAACTGTAGGAGATTGTTTAAGAGATTAATAGAAATACAAAGAAGCACTGATTTATTATGAGTAATCATTACAGATTGATCAAAATAATCAATATTCAAAAAACTAAAAGGGTACTCATTACTTTTTAAATTAGAATTCTGCTAAAAGAAATTGAATTAGTGAAAATTTAATATCAAATAAGTTACATATTATATTCCTCTTTGAAATTTACTTCATTATGATTGATTATAATCTTTTTCTGAAATCACAAAGATTATTCAACTCTTGCAATCATAAAAAATATGTTATATCAAAATTTCATTTATATATCCAATATCAATAGCAAATATTTCTGTCGGCAAAGGATGATCAGATATAATATTCCATTTAAAATTTACTGCTTTTTTTAGGCTAATGTAGTATTGTTTTTGTGATTCAAAATTTAACAAATGAATATCCACTGCTCAATTTTCTTTATAAAATATACTTGAATATTAAAGTTTACTTTGCTTTAGAATAGTTATTCCAACTTCAAAGATCTTGTTTTAAATTTATCTGAGAATTTATATCTGAAGTTTTAAAATTAATAGAAAAATCAATTAATAAACATTTCAGAAGATTATTGCTAAAGTATCCTATATAATACCACTGCTGGAAGAAAGTAAGTTATAGAACCAAGTTATTCTACATTTTCATAGAATTATGAACTAAGAGTAGTAAGAATACTAATATTGATATTAAATATCCTATAAGAGTTATACCAAATAATGGTAGCGCATTACAGGGCAGG